GAGAACCCATAAACACATACCCCAAATAGAAACTGGTTTGCTCAACCCATCAAGTCTGGAAAGTCAGCTTTTTTTGGTGCCAGAGGTAATCAACACCAACGATGGAGGCTTCAAAAACAGAAGCAAGTTGAGGAAAACAGAAACATCAGACCAGGGCCCCTTTCTGCACTGCAGAAGGCTGGCCTGAATAGGGCCTGAGGTGGGCAGTGGGAGGTGAATGCTTTAACTTAGGGATTCGAAGAGCTTTTAGTCATCACTACATGGGACCAAACACACTGATACTGAACAGGGACTCTTTGGAGAAGCTATGCTTTTGTTTTGTTGTTACTGTTTTTGTTTTGTTTGCATAAAATTACACAGGAGTAAGCGGATAGTCTGCATCACATTGCAAAGCAATGCATTTGGGCATGATCATGTGACTTATTTTGGCCAATGGGACAATAACAAAACTGACACATTAGGAGGATTGAAAAGTGTTTTTATATCAGCACTTGCCCCCTCTTGGGCACATTATGGACTGAATGTATCCTCCCAAAATTCATATATTGAAGCCCTAATGCCCAACGTGACCATATTTGGAAACAGGGCCTTTGCAGAAGGTGTTAAATTTAAGTGAGGTCATAAGGGTGGGACCCTGATACAATAGGATCAATGTCCTTATAAGAAGTGACACAGAGAAGTTATTCTTTCTCTCTGCATGCACGCAAGAAGTCATGTGAGTACACAGCAAGATGGCAGCCGACTGCAAGCTAAGAGAAGAGGCTTCGGAATGAAACCGATCTTGCTGGCATCTGAATGTTGGACTTCCTAGCCTCCAGAATGGTAAGAAAATTAATTTCTGTTGCTTAAGTCACCCAGTCTGTGGTATTTGTTATGGCAACCCCAGTAGACCAATATAGGCACCCTATTCTGTTTTCATAGAAAAGAACAACCATTCTCTTTTGTAAGTCTAGAATAGTTGAAGATAGCTTAGGTGTGTCATAGTGTAGATCTGAGGTGACTTTATTTTCTCATTTTGTGGGTGAGAAAACAGAGCAGAGCTGGTTACCTGAAAGGTCATTTCGTCCCCGAAAGAGCAATGATGAGGCAGGAGGTTCTAGAAAGGAATGAGGGCCTGTGAAATTTATTTTGAGGGTAGAGCAGCAGGGAGGGATCCATTTGGTATAATATCACAATTCCTTAGTCTTAGACTGTCTGTTTAAAAAAATAGAACTTCCACTGGACTTGAAAATACTGGCTTAAATATTTACTATATGGGAAAAAATTAATTTCTAAAATTTCTTTCACTTGATAGAAGTAGGTAAGTGTAAGAAGGCATGTTGCAAGAGTGTAAAAGTTATTACTGATATTCCGATGTACCCCATTCTTGCCCTTTACCTGATAGTTTCAATACTGAAATATGAAACTTATGAGAAGTGAATAGTTAAAGTCAGGAGATGCGACAAAGTTAGGTTTGAGACGTTTTAGTCAGGCAGATATGGAGTCTGGTCTTAGCTCTGCCCTCTACTGGCAGAATGAGCACAGTGGACTACTTAACTTTCCCAAGATAGTTAAACGTAAACAATACACACCTAAAATAACTTATAATTACAGATAATATACGTAAACTTGCCATACATCATTGACCCAATAATTGGTCACTGACAACTTTTTTTGACTGGTAGAATATTAATAGAGATCAGTATGAGAAATCACTCAGAGGAATTCTCTAAATTCTTGACCTTGAAAACAATATATTACAAAAAGATATAGTGAGGCTGAAAATGCCAAAAACACAGCAGCATTAAGAAAGTGTTGATTATAAAATGTGGATGCCTTTAAGCCTCCAGTAACGGTTAACAAAGAAATTTGAACCAACCCTTCTCTTAAAGACAACTAGAAATGCTGGACAATATGTTTTTAAAAGTCTATTTCTAGGCACAGAAGAGGCAATAACAAAGTGAAGAAGCACTGAGACAAGAGAGGAGAGAGGCTAGGGAGATACAGCTGGCTTCTAGAACCACTTGTTACACGGGGCATTTGCTGGTTCTGGAGAGAGTGGCCTGGGGGCTTCTGCTTTTGAGAGTCTTATGGGGTTTGGTGATATGGATTGGAACTCATGGAAGTGTGTATGAAAATTTTAAAAATATGGCTGCAAATTCTTGGACAGTTCTCCCATTTAGAGGTGCAGCCTGCGCTCTCTCCCTTCATTTCTGAGCATGTTTGTGAAGCACTAGGACACAATAAAATTTTGCCGGAAGTGACACTACATCACAATTTTAAAATTGGTTGATAAAAGGTATTGCAGATTCACTACCACATTTGCTTTTGGAGCCTGAGCCAATATGTCAAAAGTCTACTCCCTTGAGGTCTTTGTGCTATGACCTTAAGGTCATCCAGGCCACATGGAGAGTCTACGTGTATGTGCTTTTGTTGACAGTCTAGATCCTGCCCTAGAGCCAGCATTGACCACCAGACATTCGGGTGGAGATGGCTCCTTGTGATCCATAGAATGGATCTAAGAATTCAAAGAGGAGTCAATGTCTACTTGTCATGAGTAGGGTAACTAACAGGAAATGGATAAATAAAAGAGAAAAGATTATATTCAATTGATTTTAGTTCCTTTAAATACAGCCCCTTATTACATTTTACTCCATTATGTATAAACTGTCTATTGAAAATTATTAAAGGATATTTAATAATTAAACTTTTTAATTTAAAAGTCAAGCATGGAGGAATGTGTTAATATTTTAATCTCAAATGATTGCACACAGGCGACAATGATGTATTGTAAAATAGTAGTATGGCAACATTGCCCATTGCATGGAACGGGCAGCCTAGGAAGAAATTATTGGATTTTGGAAGGTTTTCTTTTCTGTCTCCTTTTTTTTTTTCTTGCAAATCTAATCTATATCACTGATGGAAAAGGTCATAGCAAAATAGGGAAAACACAACAAATAGTAAATACCAACCTGATATCTTGTGAGACCAGTGATAAAATAGCACAACACCACCAGTTAAAGCAAGGATACCAAACAGTCCCCCAAGAGCTCTGGCTATGACAAGGTCTCTTCTACAGCCATTAGCCCCTAAGGGAAGAAATCAGTGCTTCAGTCCTGCAGGGTAAAGACTTGGGCCCTTCTTATCAATACTGTGTGGGAATGGTAAATAAAAATTCATGTAAGAAGTCATTTAAGTATACTCTGTATGCTTCAGGTTAGTGTGGGGAAAAGAAAAGCAGCTAGACACTGGGATCATCTTTCCCACCTCCCCTTCAACAGCAGACATCTCCAGGACGCCTCCTATCTTCTGAAACCCCAATATGGTACCAATAAAGACTGGTGGGACAGAGCCATTGATCATCATACTCCGTATGCAGATACCACCGACACACCTGCGATGGAGAGTGTCACCACCTCGCTGCGCTGGGCCCCTAGGCCATTGTTAGCCTCACAAGAGTAGTTTCCAGAATGTTCTGCAGTCAGAGAGAGGTTGAAGGACACTCCTCCTCCAGAGGGGGCCGAGCTGTTCCCCAGGCTGACATCCTCATGATAAAACTGGTACAGGATCGGGGCGGAGCCTCTCAGGGCCTCACAGTGGAGTTCCACCACGTCTCCCACCACAGGCCTGGCCCTGGGAGCTGTGATGGTGAGGACAGGGCTGGACGCTGGAACTGACAGACACAGAGAGAATCTGTGATGCTACAATAGACTCACAAACTCCCATTCTAAGGTCTCAGAAAAGGGCCTGGACCCTTGGGCATTGTGCATTCCTTCCATTTTCATATCTCCACTAGAACGATCAGAGGTAATTTTTTCAACAATGTATTTAAAACTTTGGGGGGAATATCAATGCTGAGGTACTGTCTAAAGATGTGGTCATTGTTGTTTGCATCTTATTTTTTTTCTTACACCAATCGAGCCTTCTTTATATTTCTACAAAAAGAAAGATGTCAGCAGCTTAACTTGCAAGGATAGCTCAATTACAAATTGCTTTTAGTTCTCCACAGCACTGAGCCCTGGGACCTCCTGGAATTCCTCATGACTCCTTGGGTACAGTGACCTTGATTCTGCAATTTCTGGTGGAGATGAATGAGAGTGTAACTCACTTCTCACAAGGATATTCACCACCTTGCTCTGGATGGGCTCATGGCCATTGTCAGCTGTACAGTGATATCCACCAGCATCACTCTCCCTCACAGCCAGGATGTCTAGCTCTGCTGTCAGAGAACGCTGGATCTTCTTTCCCAGACTGAGTCCTGTGGCCTCTCTGTGCCAGGAGAATGTGATGTTTCCTGTGCCCTCAGCCACTGAGCAGAGCAGGTCTAGCTTTCCTCCTTCAATCACCTGTCCCCCGGGGACCCGGGTCTCCAAGGTTACATTAGAGATGGGGATTCCTAGATGGATATAAGATAACAGGTGAGAATCCTGACTGTGGGAAACTCTGGGAATGGGGGTAGACTGAGTCTACTCTCTAATGCAAGCAATGGGAATATGGGGATTGTACACGTAATCCATTATGAGTATTCTTACAGAGGTAGGGAATCCATGACAGTTTTTTTTGAAGAATGTGGATACAGATACTTGTATGTTCTAACCCTGATCCTTGCTAATTTCATGGGTAGAGATCATTTAAGAATTTGTGATAGATCATCCACTCCATGAGACAGGAAACTTTAATTTTTTTTTTTTTTTTTTTGATGAGTCACCGTGCAGACAGATGCCTTTTGCACAGAATGAAAACGGACACTGGTAGCATCAGTCCTATCTTGGAAAAGGCATTGTTCCTAAGAGCAATCCCAGTTGCAATTACTCTATCATTCCCAGTTCCAAGGCTGAGCCAAATCACTACCTCTCCTCTGACCACTGTGTTCACTCTGCTCTCTGCTCTCTCTGACGCTGCATTTAGCTCCGCATGCTGCAGCACCATGTTGCCTCCTAGTTCAATCTACGCTGCAGTCAGAGCATGCGGAGCCATGCAGAGAGCCCATGCCTTGCCTTTCAAAGTACCCAGCTGACTGCTAAATGCACACAGTCAATGATCCATGAAGACTTAATCAATGAATATTACTTAATCAATAAAAGAAAAAAGGCTTATAAGGAGCTTAGTCTATTTCTTTTTCTCATGAAGAGAGATGCCAGGAGTAATCTGAGAGTTTCTCTAGCCCAACACCCACTTTCCTCAAGGACAAGAGTTGCACAAAGAAACAAAAAGCCCAGCAGTCCAGCTGAAGCTAAAGCACTTCTCTCTTCCTCCCAGGCTCAGCCCTATGGATACTTACTCTGCACATGAATCTGAGATTGGGGGCTCTGTTTTCTGATCCTGGGTACCAGAGTCTCTGCCTCACACCAGTAAGACCCTGAGTCTTCACTCCACATTGCAGCGATCTGGAGCTCTGGGGAGCTGCTCCAGCCTGATCCCAGGGCCTGGCTATCTCTGAAGAAGCAGAACTGGAGCTGGATCACTGACTTCTGTGGATGGAGCTGGGTCTCACAGGTCAGGGTCACTGGACCCCCCTCAATGGGCTGGAAGGAGCTGGCTGTCAGCACGGGATGTTGAAACAACTCTAGAGAGAAGGAGTACAACATTCCCCAGAGCAGTGAGATCCAAGGTTCCTGCTAAAAAGCCCCTGGAGAGAAGTGACCCCAGGACATTCAGGGCCAGACACATCTCACCCATCACAGCTCCTTGCTGGTCAAACCACAAGCACTCCAGTCCACATTTGGCCAGTGGGCAGCTTTCTCCTACCAGGTACCCACCCTGCTCTGTTGCCACAGTCTCCTGTGCAGCCCAGCCCACAGGAGTAAAGGTTTTACCTTGGACTTTGATATTGACTATTTGTGAAGTTTTTTTCGATGTCCAGAGTAGTCTACGTCCAGTAGCAGTACAGTAATAGCTGCCACTGTCACTCAGAATTGCACTTTGGACAGAGAAATCTGAGAATTTTTCTAAAGAAAGTAATTTTTTTCCATCCTTGTAGTAAGTCACCGTCTCTATTTTCCAGTTCTTTTCTTCCTGGCATGTCAGAACTATTCTGTCTCCTTCAAAGACAGAGGGGGGCGCCAGGAGGGTCAGCCCATCTGCAAAAGAGGGAGGGAAACTGGATTTACCATTTCTGCAGAGAACCCAGATGCCTGACCTGCTTCCTTGGCAGTGGGATGCTCTCAGAGGCACAGCTTATACATCTTTAGGTAAGAGGGAGGTTCCAACCCGTGCCTTAATTACTGACGGTGACATCCCATTTTTCCTGAGGAGGTATCTTAGCTCGGGCTGCTATAACAAAAATCCATAAACTGGGTGGCTTATCAGCAACAGGAATTTATTCCTCACAGTTCTGGAGGTTGGAGGTCTGAGGTCAGAGTGCCAGCATTGCCGGGTTCTTGGAAGGGCCCTCTTCCAGGTTGCAGACTGCAGACTTTTCACTGTATCCTCACATGGTAGAGAAAGAACTAGCTAGCTCGCTGGCCTCTTCTTATAAGAGCACGAATCCCATTCATGAGGGCTCCACCCTCATGATCACATCCCAAAGGCCCCACCTCCAAATACCATCACGCTGGGATTAGGGTTTCCACATGTGAATTTGAGGGGGACACAAACATTCGGTCCATTGAAGAGGGTGTCAAGGTAAACATAACTTTTTACATGCATGAAGGAGTGTTCTGCTAAGGCTCCTTACCCTTAGCTCTCTCCACTGGTGACATCACACGGGGGACCCTTGTCCTCAGTGGGCACTTTACTTTCCCATCTCCCGTGCCTTCATCCAGCCCTCAGAGCTCTGCACTGTCTTGTGAATTCAGTCCCTTCCCTTCTTCTTGCCTCACCAGATGAAACCCCCAAGTGGTCTGGATGACTGAGGAATAAGCCAGTTACTGGAATAAGGTCCAATATCTTTAATTCTCAGAACTTTCCACTTGAATGCTTTCAGAAAATTTTTCCCATCATTCAATGTATAACAAAGTAGAGATTATTTTTAATCCAAGGCTCGGTTCCTAGAGACTGATCATTTTGAGAAAAAAGTCACTGCCTATGACAAATGTCCTCCCCAGGCTGCTTTCCTCAGATGGGCCACAGGTTCTCTACTTTCTACCCTGTCGGTTTACTTATTTATGGTACCAGATTATGTTCTGTGTTTATGACATTGGCATTATATTTTAGGATTATAGTTGAGGATTTTGACCTTAAGGGGAGGAACTACGTTGTACTCAAATAAAAATCTTCTCCCTATCATTATGCAATTGTACCATGACTGTCAGATTTGGATGTGTAGTGGAAGGAAACAGAGATTCATCAAGTAAGAGAAGCGATGGCTCATAAAACACCATTGTTTGCAGAGCCCAAGCCAAAATATCACAAGTGACTTGTGGAATTGGAATTATAATATTTGGAAAAATGTATGGTTTGGTACTGGCTGTTCTAGGAGAATCAGAATTACCTGTTGGACATTTGGTGGTGGGGGAGGGGAATCCATTTTCTTTCTTTCTTTGTTTCTTTCTTTTTTTTTGAGACAGAGTCTTGCTCTGTTGCCCATGGTAGAGCGCCATGGCGTCAGCCTAGCTCACAGCAACCTCAAACTCCTGGGCTCAAGCGATCCTCCTGCCTCAGCCTCCCGAGTGGCTGGGACTACAGGTGCACACCACTATGCCCTAGCTAATTTTTTCTACTTTTAGTAGCAACAGGGTCTTGCTGTTGCTCAGGCTGGTCTTAAACTCCTGAGCTAAAGCAACCCTCCCACCTTAGCCTCCCAGAGTGCTAGGATTACAGGCATGAGCCTCCCTGCCCTGCTGACAATCTGTTTTCTAGTGAAATTAGAAAGTGGGTTGCAGAAACAATTAATTTAAGATTTTGCCCTCCTTCACAGATTGAGGTTAGATCCCATGGGAACTCTTCTGTGGGACTTGCAATCAAGCCGACTTTTAACCCACTTGTACAGTCTTCATCCAGAAACAGGAAAAACTCCTGGGGAGAATAATGTTGGGAAAGGAGGGTAGGAAGTCATGGTTAGAGACGCTATTGAAAAGGCACTTGATGGGCAGCCTCGCAGGCTCTGAGCTCGCTAAGTGAGCCTGGGGGTTTTACTGCTTATAAACAGGCAGAGCCAGGTGGAGAGCAGAGAGCAAGCCAGAGGGTGGAGAGTAGTGGGAGTGGCTGACACTGAATCTGAAACTGCAGCCAGCAGGTGGGAGCGGCAGGGGAGCTCACTGCAGCTCTGGGGAGGAACCACCTGGGAAGTGGGCGTAAAACTGGAGGGCCCAGAAGTGAAGTAGCAGGGAGAGTGCATCATCGCCAAGGGTCACTGAGGGATTCTAGTGCTCACAATGTTTAACCTAGTTAAACTAGGTTCACACTGTTCGGAATCCAAGTCTGCTATTATTAGCTGATAGTGGACAGAGTACTTTACTCTCTGTACCTCGATTTCTCACCTGAGAAATGGAACGATGGCAAGTGTTTGCCTCTTAAGGATATTTTAAGGATTCTGTGAGGTAGGTGTTCAACTGTGCTTGCATGCATGCACACATGGACCACTTAGTCAGTTGCGGATTGTCACAACCTTGAGGGGAATGCCCTTGTTGCTGAAGCTAATAATGACGAACAAGAATAAGAGGCTGTCATGACTGCACTTCAAGAACAACCAAAACAATGGGTTGCAATCTGTGAGATGGGGTGGACTTGGGAGGCTCAAGGAGTGAAAGTGATTTGAGGTCAAAGCCTCCCAGAGCAACGTCCTAGGGGGTAGACATAAGTTGGTCCACATCTTCCACCAGGGAACCCCACAGAGTCAGGCAGGGTTTGCAATAGAATGTGGATCCACTTGATTCCAGGGTGGCTGTGACCACCCAGATGCCCACTCCCTGGCAGATCGGAGGTCTCAGCAGAAGTGTGGCTGGCTCTACATTGGCTGTAATTGTGACCCAACCTCAAGGGTTCTAATCTGTGCACAATTTCAGTGGAGTGGAAGGAATCAGAGGCCCTGGAGAAACAGGGTGAAGAAGCCCTAATGCTGACTCGTCCATCCTCAGGGAGTTCCAAATCCTCCAGCAAGTAGGATTGATGGAGGAGGACAGACACAGCCAGGCTGAGAGGGGCTGTACCTACGGAGGTGCCCAATAGAATCTTGCTGACCTCCAGAGGTACAGAAAAATTGAATTGAGGGGACAATGGTAGGAGGCAGGAAGAAAGTTAGGTTATGAAACCCCTAGGTTGAGCAAATCTAGGGGCAAGATGTATGCAGCTGAAGAATTTTTTTTTTACAAGAATGTCAATGAAAAATATCTTTACCAGAGCAGCAGCAAGAGCAAAAGAGAAATGATATTTCTCAGACTTTGCACACAAGGCAACGTCCCAGGTGGTGAGTGCAGCTTATGAATGGAGCAAGAAGGAGGAAATGGAGGAGAAGAATGGGAGGGAAGGGGTGGAGAGAGAAGGACTTTTTCAGCTGCTGTGCTGAGTTACATTTTCACACCTTGCATGGGAGTGAAATTCTCAACAGGCCAGAGACTGTTCACAGGAATCCAGACTGGGGTTCAGAGGCCAAGCGACCGTCCAGCCCACACAGCGGGTATATAGCAAAGCCACGATTTGAGTCTCGTCTTTCAGGAGATGTAACTGCTGCTCTTTTGACTACCTCATACTGAACTAAGTTCCCTTCTATTCTTTTTTTAAAAGGAGAGATCTCAAAGTTCTGGAGAACATTCCCATCCCAGCTTTCTGAGAGCTCTTGAGCAGGGAGAGGAAAGAGAGTAGAGTGGTCGTTGCCCTGTTCTCTGAGAGGCCACGGCTGACTCACCTCAGGAGCCTGCCCCGCATCTCACTGAGACTGAGTAACAGCACAGTTCCCGCTCACAGCCCGAAACCACCTGGGCTCTGACTGAGGTTTCCTCTCATTTCCATCCAGACAGGAAGGGAGCTGATGCGTGTCATGAGATCGGGCTCAGCGTGGGAAAGGGTGGATGCGAGAGACAAGACACGTTCCTGAACACCCTGCAGGCCAGGACCCCTGCGGGTCTCCCTGACTTTCCCTTCCCTTTGAGGTAAGATGGGGATCTGCTTATCCCAGCACAGTTCCTTAGAGCCCAGGCTCCCCTGGACAGGCAAGGGAACAATTCTCTCTTTCTTTAGTCTTGGCTCGTGGGGAGATCCACCATGTAGAATAAAATATTTTTCTCATTGACTTCCTTTACTGAGCACAGCTTTAAATCAAAAAGGGTGAGATGAAATCAGTTTTAGTTGTGCGACTTTAAAAAAGTAACACAATGGCCTATTAGATCTTCAGAATTGTTATAAAAAAATAAAAAATAAATAAAAAAGTAACACAAGTATTTAAAAAATCAGAACTAAATAATAAATCTAGAGCAGGGGTTGGCAAACTATAGCCTGTAAGCTGGTCAGCCACCTGTTTTGGTAAAAAACAAAAAAGGTGTTTCTGCAACACAGTCATGCCCATTTACATATGGTCCGTAGTGGCTTTCCTGCTACAATGACAGCGCTGCGTAGTTATGGCAGACACCTGAAAAGCCTAAACTATTTAGTCTCTGGCCTTTTGCAGAAAAAGTTTGCTGACTCCTGATCTGGAGCTAGAAAAGCAATGATGGCCCATGTTTATTCTGACCGTGCTGAGGTTTGTAGCCCTGCAGCCCTGAGATTTTTCCTCTGTGGATAACTGTTTTCAGAGCTTGAGGATATTCAGTATTCAGCCAGATGACATTGAGGAGTTATAGTCCTACGGGCAGGAAAACAATTCTCTCTAAATCGTCCTCCTCTGCAGTCTGCACACCTTCCTTCCGATGTTACTTCCCTTCCTACACCTGGGCTTTTAGCGAAGAGCAAGCATCTGGGGCCTGGAGAAGGCTGGGTGGGGCCCGGTCTCCCAGGCATGTGACCTCAGATGGGGGCAGTTCTGAGCGCGATACACTTGGACCTCTGCACACTCTTTCTAAGGCCACTTCTGCGGGACCCTGTGGTGGCCAGGTGGCTGATGTATGAGAGACGGAGAACAACAAAGACGAAAGGACTCACCTGCCTGTGCACTGGCTGGAGCTGTGAGGGGATCAAAGGTCAGAGGTTAGCACAGAGCAACTGTTCTCATAATCCAGAAATTTATGTTACTCTGATAAATTGATTAAAAACTTCTTTCCATCTTTTACTCCTTTTCTACTCCCCTACTCCCTCATCACCAGCAAGTCAGTTTCCCTCCGACACACTCTTAATCCTCATTCGTTGTGCAACCACAAGGCAAGTTGCAAACCCATCCCTTCACCAAAAGGATTGACAGAATATCCACACTGAATATTTCATAATTCTTTCCTTCATTTCATTTTCCTTCCCCCTCCCCGCCACTGTCTCTCCCACCTATGCTTTTCAACTGATAGACACGCTGCTACATGACAATGCAGTCATAAAGCATTCATGAAGAAACAGGCATAGTGAACAAGAGCTATGAGAGTTGAACCCACTCTAAATCAATCCCTTTGCTCAGGCCGTATTTTACGTTAGAGCACTTTTATTCCAATAACAAATATTTTTGTGCCTACAGAGTATAGAGAAAGGAATCTTATTTCCCAGCGGCAGCCCTCATCTTCCTCATAGTCCTTGATTAAACAGAGGAACATTAGCAAAGGGTCTCAATACAGTTTCTGAGTCCAAATCTTATGGATGATGGTGTGAATAACTGGTTTTCATGCAGGAGAGAGGCAGTATTAAGCTCAGAAATTAGGAACATTTTATTTAAGAGAACATAATATCACTCAACGAGATCTAAGATAGCACAACAGAAGTTCATGATCGACAAGTGGTAAAGTGGCCTGCCTCAAACATTAAGGATTAGAACAAGCTGCAATTTGATTTTCCTCAGTCCCACTGCTTTTCATCTGCCCCTGACGCCTAAGCTGGAAGCCGAGACCTGAGCATCCCCACTGGTCCCTGGGCCCTGATAAAACCCCAGACTTTTCCAGAACTGGAGACAGTTGCCTCCTCAGTTCTAATTCAAGTTATTGAACTCACCAAGGACGACCAGCAATGACCACAGCAGCATGAGGACCTGATCCAGCTATGTGAGAAGAAATGCTCTCTCAGCCACCAGCTGGGGCCTGTAAGTAGGAGATGAATTGTTTTGTATAATGAGCAAAAAGGGAAGTAGAAGAGCTCAGCAAACTTTGATCACTCTCTTTTATCCTGCAGTAGCCAAGAGAATTAAAGATAATCCTCTCTATGCCAGAGAAATTCTGCATCTTGACACTACAGTGATAACTAACACTTATATGCAAGTCTTAATGAGTTGGACACAGTTCTAAGTGCCGTATTTAATATCTTCAGCAAGCTTCTGAAGTCAACACTATCCCTTTTATACAATTGAGTAAAGGCAAATGTCTTAGTCCATTTGGGCTGCTATAACAAAAATACCTTAGACTGAGTAATTTATAAACAACATAAATTTATTGCTCATAGTTCTAGAACCTGGGAAGTAAAAGGTCAAGGCACCAGCAGATTTCATGTCTGATGAGAGCCTGTTCCTCATAAATAGTGCCTTCTCTGTGTCCTCACATGGCAGAAGGGATGAACAAGCTCCCTCAAACCTCTTTTATAAGGGACACTAATCCCCTTCATGAGGGTTCCACTCTCACAACTTAATCAACCCTTAAAGGCCCACCTTTACTGCTATTGCATAGGGGATTAAGTATCAACATATGAATTTTGGGGGAACACAAACCTAAAGACCATAGCGGCAGGTAAGATGGCCAAGATCAATATGGCCAATTTCTAGTAGTAACAGAGCTGAGATTCAAACCCAGGCAGTCCAATTCCACAGTCTCCCTCCACACCTAGGACCCACTGGGGCAGTTGCCTGAGGCTTCCCAAGTGGTACCTGTGGTGTCTGAGGCTCCCCTTCTGTTCAGCTTCCATGGCAGGGAGGAGGCATGCTCAGCCCCCAGTCACAGGATTCGACATGGGGGAGCATCACCCCAGCCTGTCAGGGGTGGTGCTAAGATTACTTCTGGAAGGCTGGGTCCTGCGTAGACCTGAGTCCGTGCAACAGAGTGATCAGAATGCCATTAGTTGCAGTAGCTTGGGATTGGCAGGCACCAGATCTCTGCTGCACCTGCTCTCCGGTGGAATGTCTCTGCACAGACTCTGAGCAGCTCCCCAGTCAGCCCAGAGGTTGCAGTGGAAGAGGGAGACCCCTCACGGATAGAGCTGCTTGTAACTTTTGTTTCTCTTCTAATAAATTTCTGTCTCAAACTGCTTTCCCGGTTGCAGTGGATGGGGAAGGGGCGGGGAAGGAAAAGCATCTGAATGGAAGGAAGGCGGCTCCCCAGCCTCTCAGTTCACTCTCTTTGGAGGGGAACCTCACACAGAATATCCAAGCTCTGGTATCATGCATGTTCTCCCCACTGTTCCATGTTTGCCACTGTGCCTGTGCTTGTGGGGGTGGAAAAGCCTCCAAGAAACTTATTAGCCTGCTGATCACTGAAGGCACATGGGAGGGGGATAGAGATGGATCCCCCCTTACCCATTTACTGAGCTTTGAGCCTCTCTGGGTTTGATCCTCACTGATATCTTTTTTTTTTTTATCTTCTTCCTTCTCTGCTTTGCAATTTTCCTCCATGAGGTCCCTGGCAGGCTCTGGCACCTCTCTCTATGATCTACACCTGACCTGCATCTCCTCTTCCCTCCACTTTATCTGAAATCCTACCTTCCCTCAGGGATGGTCCAGCAAGCAATGTGTCTAGTCAGCCATCTTGCCCCCCTTCTCCTGCTTCTCAATTTTTTTTAAGATAACAAGGCCATTATTCCAATGGCTTGGGTTTGTGAAAATTTTCTTAGTCAATGGCTGACTTTCTAGAATGGAATTTTACTAAACTTCAAAACACTTTTTCTGTATCACTGAAAACATAGTCCCCTTTCCTATTTCTAAATCTCTATTAGGCTGATCCTAATATAGCTGTCTCTACAAAGCAAAGCATGCATCATGCCAGGGCCTATTGTCAAGCTCACTCTGATTAGATATAGTCCCCACGAATGCTGCATATAACAGTCTGTTCAGGATTAAGCTGTCTGAGCAGATGCCAATTGCCCTGTTGGACCTTATGCAACATGAAACTTTAAAGCATAAAAATCATAGGTGGGCTGGGGGCGGTGGCTCATGCCTGTAATCCTAGCACTCTTAGAGGCCAAGGTGGGAAGATCACTTGAGATCAGGAGTTCAAGACCACCCTGACCAAGAGAAAGACCCTGTCTCTACCAAAAACATAAAAAAATTAGCCAGGTATTGTGGTGTGAGCCTGTAGTCCCAGCTACTCAGGAGGCTGAAGCAGGAAGATCACTTGAACCCTGGAGTTTGAGGTTGCAGTGAGCTGTGATGATGCCATGGAACTTTATCCAGGTTGGAAGAGCGAGATGCTGTCTCACAAAAAAAAAAAAAAAAAAAAAGTCTTAGATGTTTGTAACCTGGTAATGGACTGATAGTGAAGTATTCATAGACTCAATGTCATCTGTTCATGTGAATACTTATTACTCACTATAAACACAATTTTACTTTGGGAAATGCTAATATTTGTATGTGATGTTCATCAAAGCCTTGCTTGTGATAGTGTAAAATATACTAAAAAATGTAAGAGGACAGATTAAAAAGTAAATTATGTACAAAAATTATGTGGAATACCAAGCAGCCATTAAAATAATTCTGTAGAAAAATATTTACTAGATGCCTAGGATGTAATGTTAAGGAAAAGTGACTGCGGAATGCAATTTATCTGCTGCACACAACCTCCCACTTTCCAATAAAAAGCATCTGAGACAATAAATGCCAAAGTATTAGTTCAATTGTATCTGAATAATAAAATTAAAAGTGATTTTATTTTCCTCACTTTGCTTATCAATGATTTCTAGTATTCCTACATAAACATATTCTATTTGTGTATTTTTAAAAGATTCATAAGAAATAAGAACTGGGTTTTATGATTTCTATCATCTCCAAGTATACGAAGCAATGCTCCTTTAACTTTCTGTGTAGGCAAATGGTTTGTATCTATTTATTTATTTTTTCATTCTTTTG